ACGTCTCAGTTTCTCCGAAACACCAGCAACATACGGAATAACCACTGGTTTGGGTCTGGGTTTGGGGTCTTCATTTTCATTAAACTCTCAGACTGAAGAAGTCTCTTGGAGGAGAGACGAAACGTTTCATTAGAGAAGAACCCGTCCAGAAGACCTATACAATTTTTTTCTTTTTGATTTTTTACCTAGATTACTGAGATGCATCAAGATACATGAGAAATGTTAACTGTTAACAGAGATATAATAATAAAATATTTGTTGTGATCGTTACCTGATTGACATCAACTCTACGTATGTGCTCCAACTTCCAATCTAAATAAAAAGGACAAACAGTGTAAAGAYGTAAAGTACAAAAAAGGAGGGTAAAATAAATCTTCAAATATTACCAAGTACCCTGTAAGTACCCATCCTGGTACGGCTGTGTTTCTGTGACTCTCTGAGCCTTATTAAGCCCAGCTCCCCACGCCACTAAAGGTGTGAGTGTTTCAGAAGGGTGACCAGCACCGTGGGAGCCTGGAAACAAACATGCAAAAACAAAGTGTTTTATACATTATTTTTAAGTCGAAATGACATCTAATAACAAAGCAAACTCTTACCCCAGTTTGTCATGCCGTGATCAGAGGTAAAMACGTATGCAGTTCGGCCATCATTACCAAAAAAGTCCTCAAATGCAGACACAAGCTCAGCTACTCCTGTGTCCACTAGAACAATATTGTCCAGGTATTCCCTGCATGAAAGACAAAGCAAAACATAAAACATCTATCTCTTATGTGATTCTGAATTATACAAGACTCAAGAAGAAGAAAATGATTCCTTYACCGTGACATCGGTCTGTGAGCATGTCCGTTAGTGTCAATGCCAAGCAGGTGCAGAAAGAAGATGTTTCGATCCTCGAGCAGACTAGACTTTAGACTGGAGTTTGAGTTTGCTGATTGCAAGAAGGACTGTTAGAAATACAAACAAATATTCTTGAAGTTAATCTAGAAATTGGTGAGTAAATTCCAGCTCATGTCGCAAACAGAATATGATGCAATCCCATCGAAACGCCCTGTTTTCCGAGCAGAGCTTACTGAAGCTGCACTGGCTTACACAAGGTTTGGCAATGAGAGCAAATTATGTGAACGAACACGCCTTAAAGGTTAGAATTCTAGTAACTTTATTTATTTATTTTTTTACTTAAATCAACTTATATAAATAGATCCATCACAACAGTCATGTTTACTGTGAGTATTTTCGAGACATACTTTGACCTGAGTGAAGACCCAGCTGTCCAGTCTGGACGCATCTGTGGAGGCAAAGTCTTCTTCCTCTGCAGGGTATGTGTGGGTGTGAACGTGGTCTCCGCTGGCACCTGAAAAAAATCGTTTGGAAATGTTGTTTGGGTATAATCCGAAAAATTAAAAAGTCCAGAGGAAATAATAAAAAAATAAATAAAGTCAATCTAAACTAAATGTAATACGTTGGTATATTTTACAACTGCCAACGAAAATAGGTGATAAGGTTGTGTGTGTGTGTGTGTGTGTGTGTGTGTGTGTGTGTGTGTGTGTGTGTGTGTGNGTGTGTGTGTGTGTGTGTGTGTGTGTTTGTAGCTTTAGCAAAATATCTTTTGAACCAATAGACAGAATTTACTGAAAGTTTTCAATCTCTGGCATAAAATTAGCTCTTGTTCCCCTCAGTTGTCATCTTGTCTCATGTGTGGGTTTATTGTTTGTTTGATGTTTTCTACTAGTTAGTTTATGTGTTTTTATATACATTTTAGCTTATAATATTTTGAGTACTTTGAAGTGTATTGTATTTGTTATTTTATAATTATGTAGTTTTACATTTAATATTTTTACATTTAATATTTTAGGGTGACTTTTACCATCTGTCTGGGGATTGCAGGTGAAAAATAGCCTTCTGACTAATTCTGGCATATTTACAGAAATGTTATTAATATGCACTGTCCCTGTAATAAATAAAGGTTTGGGAAAAAATAAGGTGGAGATCAGGGTGACGTGTTTCCTTCTTGGAATGCTAGGCCTTGTTTCTGAGAGTGCGTGAACCTGTAAGAACATATCTACCTTTAGCAAACATAGGCAGGATATCTGGGCTTCCCCAGCACCATGTGTTTCTGCTTTCATTAAACACTGAATCAAACTCTACAGGATTCTCCTTCCAGCCTGAAAACAAGCACAAAAGAAGTCAGTCACTTCCACAACGAATCATATTGTTAAAATCTTACAAAGATACATTTGGAAGTGGATAAATGTACAATAYTCATTTTGAGTGGTACAATAACTGGCTCTGCGTGAAGAAACCTCAACTTGCACTAACCTTTAGCGACTGCGCTAACGTCCTCATAGAAGCCTGCAATGAGAGCAACATGACCAGGTCGAGACTCAGTGGGCACACGAGTGTGAGAGACACCCCAGGTACCAGTCTCCTCGATTACACGCCTGGTGTTGGGGAAAATGAGACACATGTGATGCTCAAATRCATGAATGGGAACAGGTAATGGTCACATTTATAGAATTTAAAAACAAGTTTTATTATTCCCATACACACCATATCAAGTCTCACTTTTTTAAAAATCAGTTTTCTTACCTTAAGTATGGAGTCCTTGAAGAGCCATCGGGCAAAAGGGTGAAAAGACTGTCAGCTCTGAGGCCATCAGCTACAAATAACACCAGTCTGGATGCAGGGGGTGCCAGTGGGGTGGACTGAGGGTTCATGCCATGGACCAAAGGAGAAGTGAAGTATATGTCAAAGATGGACAGGAAGAAGACCACATGGACTGTCAGGCCAGCAAGGAAAAACAAGATCATCCTCATTTTGACTGTCAAGACCGGAATGGCTCTGAGTAGCAACTGTGAAGTTTATGGAGATGGAAGAGGGCAGACTTCACTGGTGAAAGAAAGGAAACAAAGAACGTAAGTGTTTAAAACAGGGTTCCCACACATTGGTCAACATCAAATTCAAGCACCTTTCAAGGACTTTCCAGTACCAATTTCCTCAAATTAAAGAACCACACACAAGGGCAATTACCTACTGCTACTGCAGAATGTCACCAATAAACAGGTTTAATATCTTTTTTCCTCTTAATATCATGTAAATTCAATGAAAAACTGAACAACATAAAAGTTGTTGAGTTAGAAACATCAGTTTACTGTAATCCTGAGTTATCCATCTCAACAAATGTACATTTTTAAAAATTTTATTTTATAATAATTTTTTTAAAAGATGATGAAAATCATTCGTATGAATAGAGAATTTCAATCCCCAAAAAAACATTCAAGGAATTTCAAGGACAAGTGTGAATTTTGGCTGTTTTCACAAACTTTTCAAGGCCTTGAAATATTTTTTTTCAAATTCACAAACTTTCAAGGATTTCAAGGAGCCGTGAGAACCCTGTTAAAAAGTGTATAATCCTACTAGTACATAGAACAGTTACTATTTCAAAGTACTACAGGTTCCATATAAAGGTACAAGGAAAGACTAATCCATTAAGCATATTATGTCATGAGTCAGTGCACAAAAAAAGAAATATCTTTATTTTCCAATAATATTGTAATTATATTTCTAAATTGTTGGAAAATCAGCTACCTCTTAGAACAAACAAAAAGTTGCCTTACCTGTATGTTGTGTGAACTGAGCGAGATTGAGTTTTTGTTAAAGAATGAATGAGGGCACCTTCTACTACTGACTGCCGAGCTTTTGCCCATTCAAACTGGATTAGCTTCTATTTAATTTTCGTAGAAAACTTGTCTAGTTTTAATATTTACAGAATTAGATTGACGTTGTTCTTTAAAACCAGATCAACTTAATCTTTAAGTGGCTGCTTTAATAAAAACCAACCAGCCTTAATTCTAATAAGATTAGTACAAGAAATGCAGGCTCCACAGGCATTAACTTCCTTGTTGTGACTTTGACGTTAACTCTACGCATGCGCTAAACGTTGAATTATGGGTATTGTAGTTATTTACTCTTTATTTATCCATAGGTTTTCTGAAACATGGCGTCATTTAAAAAAACAAATGAAATGGTAGCTGTCATCAGTTTGCGTTACAGTACATTTGTTTTGCTTCTYTTTTTGTTGACAATTCATGATTAGCTTTCTTTAGTTGTCAAACATTAAGGACGCGCTGCCCAGTTAGCTCAGATATAGCCAATTATATTTCAGTATTTTGTAAAATAGGCGGGTTTAAGAGTGACGTCCCACAAAGTTAGCCAATCACAATCTCCCAACCCTTTTCCTTATGAACGTTACCGATCCATTCAGGAAGAGGCGGGTCTGATTAGCCTAGCTTGCTTAGTGTGCTAAAAATCTTTATACTGAGGAAAAAATGGCGTCCGTCAACCCTTTTAATCTCAGTGATTCTGAAGAAGAAGCTGAACGGGGACCCAATGAAACAGTTGACACAGAAAGAAGCCCGAGTGACGGAGCGCCGGGGCCGCCGCCGGGCAATCCGTTTTCTCCGCCTGCAGACGCCGAACCCCCGACGCTCCTGCTGTCCGGCAACCGTAYGAGCCCCAGCGGTGAGGGCATCATCTCCGTGTCGGCCGCGGCTACCTCCTCTGTGGCAGGAGGAGGCAGCGCCGAAACGCGGGTATCTGTGGATGTCATTGCTGCTCAGTTATTAAGGGACCAATATATCCTCACGGCCCTGGAGTTTCACACTGAACTGCTGGAGGCAGGCAGAGAGCTCCCGAGGCTGAGGGATTATTTCTCCAATCCGGGGAACTTCGAGAGACAGAGCGGCACTCCACCTGCCAAAGACCAGGTACTCGGACCTGGAGGACCACTGAGTAAGTAGCTGCTTCCGATGCTACAAGTRTCACTTCGCTTGCTTCGTCAGTAATAATGTTTTATTAACGGTGGTTTTGGAGCAGAAGGGATCTCGAGATCTCATCTTTCTGCTCCTCCTGCCCAACCCCAAGGGCCGCAGTGATCCAACGGGTTTTTTGTGGGTCAGCGTTCTCTGGACCAGAACACTGCCAACTTTGCTGTAAGGTGATGAATTTATGAGTGACAGACAGGTGGTCGACCCTTAGGAAAACATCATTTTCCTCAGGCTGTGGGGAGGTCTCAGAAGTCAGGAGCAGAGCACAGAAAGAGAAAGCTCAGAAGAAAACGAGCTGAGCTGAATTTTTCCACTATCTGCCTTGCAACTATGTATTCAGTTGCAGACAGGAAAAAAATAAAACAACAATTTTGAGTTTAAAAGGAGACTAGAGTTWGCAAAAAATGCATTATGGACCTTGTATGGTTGCATTCGGTTTGTAACAGACCTAATTAGGTTCACCGTTTGCATCCTTTATCTCCACTTTTGCTTTCAATATGTGTAAAATCTGACAGTAGTTTTTAATAAAAAGGTTTGAAGCTGAAATAACTTGAAATTGCCATTGAAGTTTTAAATCCTAATAATTTTGATCATTGATTTCCAAGCTGGCTTGCAGTTCCAAATTGAAGTCAGGCAGGCTGAATTATGTCAGTGTGTCATAATGACAGCAGCACTACAATTATCATTTAAACTTCAGTTCAGCAAGTTAATGAATCGGTGCTTTGAGAAAACCTAGTTTTTATTATTTAAAGTAGATGATATAATATCCCACTTATTAAGCAATGAACAAAGGTGTGTCTCAGGCGGCTGTATAATCTTTAATGTGTCTCAGATTATTTTAGCAGACCTCAGGCCCTTTGCATAGCAGTACAAAATCCCAGCAAGTACAATTAATTACTGACGTTGTCGCAGAAATCAGAAACTGGTAAAGCTGTATTTTAGTTGCACAGTTCTAACATAAAAAGCCCCTAAAGGCCTGGAACACAGTCTTATTAAAACTGGTTTCAAAAAGCATGATGGAAGCTGACAGCTACCCTCTACTGACAGGCTAACCAACTGTCGTAAATAAACATGAATCTTCTTATTAGCCGTTGCTAATGGGCAGTTTATGTAATAACATTAAAAAAAACATTTTACAGAAAGTAAATCTACAAAAACATGGAAAAAAAGATGTTGCCTAAGGCCTTGTCTTAACTCGTTTTAGGACTGCTACGATTAAACGATTAATCGACATTAAAATAATCGATGACTAATTTAATAATCGATTAATCTTTTTCTTTTTTTTTGTTCTTTGTTTTTCTCTCCAAGCTGCTTTGACACCTTCCACTGCCACATCTGCCTTTCTGTCCTTGACACACATGCACAGTAGTGGTAACTGGGGTAGGCCGTGGACGTCACAAGTAGGACTGCACCGATTAGTTGAAATAATCGATGATGTCGATTATGTAAATTTGTCGACGCAGATTTTTTTATTATCGATTCGCTGTATTACATAACCACCACGTGAATGTTCATGCAATTCCATTTCGGTACCTAAATGCATCATTGCGACCGTATAAGAGTGGCGAGTTTTCCATGATTGTCCTGAACGCAGCATCAAACAAGAGCGTAATGACTTGCAAGCCTCGCAGCTCCTGGAGTAAAAC